TTGGGCGTGGCCTGGGGAACAGTTGCCCGGGCCACGCACTCTGTGGCGGGCGGGGTTGTTGCCAATCCACCCCCCGTTGTAGATGAGCGCCCCGGCCTTCCCGATCAGCCCAGGGCCAAGAGAAGCCCCCAGAGCCAGGCTCTCCCTGTGCCTGCTGTGCACTCCGCCCGTGCCGCCTCTTATCGCAAGCTACCCGCAGCGTGAGGCTGGTAAGTAAACAAGGAGCCAACCGCCGTTAAGTCACGTACGCATGAAATAAGCAAAATTTCAGTTTCTTTTCTGGGGGGTTCTGGGCTCTTCATTTCAACAGCTTGAAAACAGAGAGACTCGGAGACAGGCTGGTGGGAGGAGGAGGGTTATTCTGGCAACACTGAGGCTCTGCCCACCTGTACCCCAGTGGGAAGTGCTGCAGAGGGTGGGTTTGTGCAGCACCGAGCACAGCGGGTCTAGGGTGGGGAGTGGGGCTTCTAGATTAGGTGGTGCTGCTCTACAACCACTGATGAATCAGTATGGTGGGGGTTTACACTCTTTGGCTCTGATGTTGAACTGCTGTAATGGACTGCAAGGGGAAGCCAGGCCCTTTGTTTCTCTCTGCTGTGGGTAATATTTGCGGAAATGCTGACTAAAAGGGGTAGTTCAGGAGCTGTGCCTTTCTGTTGTTTTGGTGAAAGCTGCACATGTAAATCCGAGAACAGAATTTGGCCTGAAGAATGATGGGACAGTCCCACCTATCGCAGTTCAGCGATCACATCTGTGTTTCCCCTCTGTTTACCAACAGCACTCTCAGCTTTCTGGCTCCCAGCTGTCACCTTTTTGTGGCAGAGACCTGCATTTCTCCCCCTTTTGCCAGGGCTTTTTCCAGATTGCATGGTCCCTTGTCCAACAGTGTGATATCTCAAGGAAGTCAGACTGCCTAAACAGGCCAGTGTCTGCAGTTTGCTTCCTCTCCAGTAGCTATGAATAGATTAATAGCCAGTGGTTGAAAATTATTACACAGCCCATTCTAAGCAAGCACAGTTATTCTTAAGGTGAAAACGGAACAGAGAAAACACCTTAAAACAACAAAAGAACCTACATGCATTCTATATAGCTTATTAGGGATGTACAATCCCATTTGATTACCCAAACACACATTCTCCCACCATTCTGAACATACTCAGCCTGCATTTAAACTGCTTACTGCAGTCTAGGCTGTCTGTGTACGGCTTTGTGAGCTACGAGAGCAAGGGGTAGGCTGCCGAGGACCGTTATTGGCATTTCAATGCCTCCAATAGTAATTTTCTGGTCTAAGAAAAAAGTTTCAGTTTGCAGCTTTCTGAAGAGGCAGAATTTCCTAAAGATGTGTGTATCATGCACTTTTTGGGACCACCCCATGTTGATGTCAGTGAAACAGCCCTTGTGATTCATCAGTGCCAGCGGCATCACTGAAAGGTATCCCTTGCAGTTGATGTACTCCCTGGCAAAGTGGTCGGGTGCCAAGATGGAGATGTGTGTTCCATCTATTGCCCCACCAAAGTTAGGGAACTCAATTGGGGTAGAGCCCTACACTGTGTCCTACGTGTTTCCCAGAGTCGCTACCCTCTGTAGCAGAAGGTTATTTGATTGCCTTGGCTACTTGGATTACAACAGCTCACACTGTAGATTTCCCCACTCCAAATTTGATTCCCAAATGACCAGTAGCTGTCTGGCATTGCAAGCTTCCACAGGGCTATTGCCACTTGCTTCTCTACTGCCAGAGCAGGTCTCATTCTGATATTGCTGTGCTTCAGGATGGGGGAAAGCAATTCACAAACTTTTATGAAATTGGCTTTGCACGTGCAAAAGTTTTGCAGCCACAGCTGATTGCCCCATACCTTCATAGTTATGTGGTCCCACCATGGGTGCGTCTAGACTGGCAAGATTTTGCACAAAAGCAGTTGCTTTTGCACAAAAACTTGCCAGCTGGCTACACTAGCTGCTTAAATTTGCGTAAGAGCACTGACTTTATAATGTACAAAATCAGTGCTTCTTGCGCAAATACTTTCACGCTCCTGCTCGGGGAAAAAAGCTGTACTTGCGCAAGAGGGCCAGTGTAGACAGGGAAGAATTGTTTTGCACAAAAAAGCCCTGATGGCTAAAATGGTGATCGGGGCTTTCTTGTGCAAAATCGTGTCTAGACTGGCCATGGATGCTTTTGCGCAAAAGCACTTTTTGCGCAAAAGCCTCCGTGCTAATCTAGATGCTCTTTTGCGGAAATATTTTTAACGGAAAAACTTTTCCGTTAAAAGTATTTCCACAAAATCATGCCAGTCTAGACGCAGCCACTGTGTTTGTCTGATGGCAACAGAACCGGTGTTCCACCGTATCCAGAAGATCAAATGCCAGTGGCATTTGCCAGTTGTTCAACTGATGTGTGCAGAAGAGTATGTTCATGGCCTCCCAAGAGTCTTCCTCATTTAGGTGGACTCTGGATATGTTCCAGCATAAGGATCACAGTGGAAAAAGTCCTGGCAAAAGGGGGAGAAATGCAGGTCTCTGCCACAGGAAGGTGACAGCTGGGAGTGGTTAATATGATTGCCATAATGATTTGATGCTCAATGAGATTCATGATGGTTTTCATGCTGCTATAGTGTCTGCACAGATAACCAGGGGAAAAAAGGCATGAAGAGACTGTTTGTTGTTGCTTTCAAGCAGGGGGGGGAAATAGGAGATGAGTGCATTATGGGTGGCTGACAACATGTACCCAGAACCACCTGCTGCACAGTCTTGTTCCCAGTGCATGCTGGGACCATAACTCAGAATGCAAAGGGATGCAGTAACTGTGGGATAGCTATCCACAGTGCATCACAAGTCGACAGTAGCCACCATATTGGGACGTGAAATGCCGCATGCAGCCTGGGGCCAGCTTGGGTGTCACCAGGCTGCATGAGGCGTTTCAAAGTGGCAGCACTGCATGGAGCGCAGGATCAGCTGGGAACTCCCCTGCTGACCCCAGGCTCCACATGACACTTTCGCCTTTCAAGTGTAGCAACAGCCCTATAGCATCCCCCATGCAGCTGCCTCTGATACTGTATCAGAGGCAGCAGTGCTGGGGTAGGGGGCAGGCATGTAACCATGAAGGTTAACCAATGAGCTCAGGTTCACCAGTTATCTGTATGTGTTTACACTTTTGCATCTCTAACTTTCATTGGCTAGAGTATCCATTTAACATCTTTCCGCCCTTATGGCAGTGAAAGAATTTTTGCAATTTGCAGCAGTGCTCTTTCTCCCTATGTATTATTGTACATTTCATATGTATTCCCTACCCCGGTTATTATTTTGACCATATTTTACACTTAAGTTCATTTCCTTCCTCTTCTTTTTCCTCAGAAGTTTTCTTTCCTGATGCAGATCATACATCACCACCTGTTACCTTTCTGCAAGAATTACCAAGCTATCGGTCTGTGTTGAGGCAGAGAGGTGCTGGAGGAACACAGGATAGACGACAAAACACACGTGGCTCTGTGAGACCACCTGTTGGACAGACTAGAAATCTTGCTGAAGGAACAGGAGTAGAAAATGAGGCATTGGTTCGATCAATAAGAGAATATGCATTAAATATTCCGGAGAAGAGAAGACTAAGGTTGGCTCAGTAGATTTTTTTTTTAAATGTTCTCCTTCTCTAAATGGGTGCAGTGTGTACGCTATGGAGGGCTGAAATGGTATACGCAGGGAAGCTGACAGACTTGCCGGGCACCTGGGCAAGGTGGGAGGGGACCAGCTCTGTGCATCAGGAAGGGGTGGGACCTGAGGTAGCCAGCTACCCTGCTACCTCTCCCCAGTGAGTCCTGAGAGCCTGTCAATGCCTAGAGCGTGATGCATAGCACTCTAGCAATGAGTTAAATGTCCCAGGGCACCAGCTCCTATGATAGTAGCAGTGGAAGCCAGGAGCCATGGGCCCTTTGAATTTCTGGCTCCTCTCCCTCCTCTTCCCTCCCCCGCCCAGTCAATGAGCCTGGGTGTAAGACTTAAGTCCACTTCCGAGATCCTTGCACCAAACCAAATATTGCATTAAAAAGCAGCTGTCCAGCCTTGTATTGCCAAAATGTAGTATATTAAAATCCATTCTATCAACTAGAAATTTGAAAAGATCACTATGGGTCTGATTGTGAACTCCTTGCTCGCACTTGTGAGCAGTAATTATTCACAAGAGAAGGCCCAATAACTTCAGTCTGGCCTGATGTGAGGAATAATTGCAGGAAATTAAGGGAGTGGGTGAATCAAAGAGTAAGTGAACTATTATTACTGCCAGGTGAATATAACTCTGGCTCCCCCTGCTGCATTTCATCAAGCACAAATATTGTTCTATATTCTTAAGGCCCTTCATGGCTTATCTCTGTCCCGTCCACCATCTCTTATCTGTTTTGAGCTGTTGAGTTCTGCTCTGCCAACAGTGTTAATCTCAATAGCCTTGTTCTCACATTGTCCAATAAGCCCCTTTGTGCTTTCTCTCACGCTACCTCTTGTGCATATGGATGGAGCTCTCTGTAAGCACCTGCAAAGCTACCACATTGTCTTCCTTCAAGCCCTTCCTTGAACTTGCTTCTCTGATGGAGTCAGCAAAAAACTTGGCAGCTGGTGGGTGATAACATTGCTTATCGTACTGTTTGTAATCATTTCTTGTTTTCTTATAATTCCCCTCACCTCTGTTGTCTCTTGTCTTTCTGTGTACCATGTGAGGTCTTTAAGTTGGCACTTTTTTGTTACATGCTTGTACAGCACTGTCACAAGATGGTTGGCCCTTTAAGGGGAGTTGTGCAACAGTCTCATCTATGACTAATAAGCTGGTTTCCAGCTGAGGCTGGGAGACCAGAGATGAACAGATAGATCCCTGGTTCCCACAAAGACCAGCGAAAGTTACAGGGAGTAGAAAGGTTCCTGCAGGAGTCTCTAGACAGGACCTAGTTTAGATATGACTCAAGATGGCTGACTTGCAGGGAACAGTCCAAGATGGAGAGGTAAGCAGGTTCCCAGGCTGATAGTCTGGGATGTGTAAGTCTGTAGGAAGTAGGTAGGTCTCTGCAGGAGAGCCTGGGGTGAGGGAAAAAGGACACGTGAGCTATGCTCTCTCTAATTTTTACATCGATGTATGGAATAATGTTTGTGCACTGAGGCATGTGTGGATGTGCATCACTAGTAGGCACACATGTTGCCAGCTGTGGATGCTCTGCTAATCAGCTGGGTGGCAGTTTAGTCTCTCCTGGGTGACTGCACAAGCACACAGCTTGCAAGTGACACTCACCTCAAGGCACTAAGAATCATAAGCCACTGTATTTCTACTCTGCCCTAGTAAGAGTGAGTTTTGCTGGAGCTTAGACTGTCAGCTGCCTGCCACCTCACCAGCAAACTCCTTGAGACTCTTCTCATCTTAACCTTACCTTGAAGTTAAGTGCGCATCCCAAGTTCCCAGAGACGTGTGTCTGCAGTGGTCAGTCCCTCTCATTGGAGACACACACAAACACAAATTACATTTGTTTAATTTGAGACTATGTACATGCTGGCCTGTTCTGTTAGCCAAGGACTTGCTCTATACCTAACAGCACTCAGTTTTAATAGAAACTAAGTTTTTTTTTTTTAATGAAGAACAGAGATTAAGTGATACTAATCAGGAAAAAGAGAGGCATGGTTGCAAACGAAACACTTTTTTTTGTTTTCTAATGACTAAAACTTAATTCAAGTAAATTATAATCTTTGCCAAGCAGTTTTATGATTCCGTAGCACATTATTGCACTATAAAAGTGTATTAAGTATACACTCGTGGTTCAATAGCTCATTCTTTGGGGTTCTTCCCCCAGGTGTCAGAACCCATAATGTCATATCATGTTTGATGTGTTGAATTGGTGTTTGAAGAAATAAAGCAAGAACCTAAGGAAAAGGGGGACTGGCTGAGCTGGCTGCTGGGGCAATGGAGTTTATTTGGTGCTTAGGCCTATGAGTTCAACTTACAGGTGCCTGGCACACTGGGGCCCTGGTGGAGCTTTAGCACTTCCATGGTATCAGTCACTAGTAGCAACAAATTGCTCAGCGTGGCAGTTGTGCAATGATAAGTGATACTACTGTTAAGTGCCCCAGAAAACAACACCAAACTTCCATAGTGTTCATCATTGCCTGCCCCGTCTCTACAATGCAAGCCAAACACAACTATGTCATTCTCCAGAGTGCCTGTTGGAACTAGACGTGCTGGGGCCTGTCCTCTCTGCAAGCTGACATCCTGCGAGGGTAACTGGAGTCACAGTTAGAGATGGGGTCAGCTGTTGTCTATTCATTTAATGCAAATTAGGTTCAACCAAACTATCAGTTCAGTGTCCAGTTGAGTAGAGAAGGGAAACTATACTGACTGCACCACAGATGGGATTGTGTGTTGGTGTCTTCGGTCCCAATACTACAAACGAGCACGTGAGTAATTCAGTGGGGCTACTTGTACACAAAGCCACTCACAAGCATAGATACTTGCAAGATCAGAGCCTTTGTTTGGTACACACTGAACTGAAATTTAGACCTCTAGCTTGAAGTCTAGATGTGTCCTGCAGTGATTTTGCAGAACCAGTTTGAAAATGGTTTAGCATAAACAGGAAAGGCTACCTTAAGTTGTCTAATAATGAGTCTGTACTGTGGCTCTAACCAGTTTTAGAGCTGGTTAAGGTATCCCCAATATAGACAGGCCCCAAGTGATGCACTTGAACCTCTTTAATCTGGCAGTCCTGGGAAACAGAGTTTGCCAGGTTAAATATTTTGCTGGGCCAGGAAGGAAGCGAGGGTGATGGAGGTAGGGTGCTTACCTGGTGCTCTCTTTCCCCCAGCTGCTTCCAGCCCCTCTTCCCTCCCTGCCCCCCACTGCTATAGGAGTGGTGAGGAAAAGCTGCAGGCCGTTAGCTGGGAGGAAGGGGAGCAGCAGCATGCAGAGCTGATTCTGCCTGCTGGGGTCCATACCACAGATGTTCCTGAATTAGGGACATCTGGGGAACGGAGTCTGTGTGTGTGTCTGTCCTGCTTCTCCCCCCTTCCCGTGCAGGATGACAATGACATCATCTGTGTCCATAGGCTAGGGGGCTAGGCATGAGCCATGAAAGCCTAGCTGTGGAAGGCAAGCCCTAGCCCTGCCCCTGGAGCCAAGCTCCACACACTCCCAGCCCTGCCTTTGCTGGCAGCCATGTGGAGAGCCAGGGTTGTTGCGCTGCAGCCTGGCCCTTTCCTTCCTGGTGGCTGGATAGAGAGCCAGGGCTACTGTGTTGCGGCCTTAGACCTTTCTGGCATCCAAGGGGAGAGCCTTAGCTGCCTTGGCCTGGCTCCCTCAGCGGCTGTAGGGGGAGAGCCTGGGCTGGTGTGGCCTCAGCCTGGCCCCAGCCCAGTGGCTGGGGGCAGAAAGCCGGGTCTGCCTCAGCCCGGTCTGCCAAGACCCTGCACCCTCATATACCCCCTCCACCGAGACCCTGCACCCCCAGCCTCCTCACTCCTTCCACCAAGATCCTGCGCCCCAGCCTGCTCCTGCACCCTTCCCCCAGCCAGATACCTATTCCTGGGGCAGGGGTTAGTGAGCGTAGCAAGCAGGAGCCACAGCCCCCTAGTAGTGCATTAATCAAGAGAGAGAAGTGATGTTGGACTGTTGGAATGTTCCTACTCCAGTTTGCCTTCTCTCACAATTTGGCACTAGTTATCTTTAGATTGCTCCATTTTTATTTCACAGTAAAGGAGACAAATTATTCTGAAGTCGAATAGGAGAGATGTATTTGTCATTTTTCATTTATATTTTTAATAAATAAATTATACTGGAGCCTTTTATTATGGGTTGTTTTGCTCACTGCTCATAGGAGAGGGAACCTCTTCCTTTGCTTCCTAGGGCTATTGGCTGGAACCTGACCCTGTTCCAATATAGCTTAGGTGGGACCTGCATACATTACTATTATTTATTCATATTGTGGTGCTAGGCCCTGTGTGAATGCATGCATGTACCCCGCTCCCTAAAAGCCTCTCTCTGTGACTAGGAATTTGTTAATTTATATTATTAGGGCTGTCCAGAAAGCAAATGTTAAATATCTATCTCGATGGGATCAGTGGAAGCAGAACAGGAATAGATCATGGAAAAAATTCCTAGATGAAATTAAGGAGCTGTCATCTTACTTGGAACTTTGGAGACATGACATTCGTAGCATTGAAGGTATTACCTATCCCCTTTATACTTCAATTTTCTGCTTTACCTTGCTATTAAGAGTGCAGTATTGTTAGTGTGTAGATCAGCAGATGTGTGCATTTTGCTTGGAAGATAAGTTGGCATATCTTGAAGACTGAAGTCTACAGAATAGGTACACCGTGGCACAGTTGGCATCAGTGTCTCCCTGCTGCCCTGATAAGGTTTCTTTGCCCTTACTCCATGCCCATTCAAGCTTCAGCACTTCATGTGAGTCTAAGCTGATGCAGATTTCATCTACTTCTGGCCCCCTTGATATAAGTTATCTTGCCTCCGTCTTGCAACCCATCATTGTCATTTTTTGTGCAACTTTCCCTCACACATTGCCTTTCAATTTGGCACCCTGAGTTTGAGGGAATCATTTACAAGGGAGTGGAAGAGAGAGGTGTTAGAGCTGTCTTAGAAAAAGCAAGTAAATGGGTAAGTTATAGTCCCCCTGCCCTACTTATACCTGGGTTATAGCTCCCTGAAGTGTTAGTTATGCAAAATTAGATTTCTGTGTGCTCACTCAGACTCAGGACTATATTGAGAAGTGATGTGTAAGGGAATGTAAATGGCACATCAATGAGTGAGTCTGAATGGAAGAGTGTTTAAACTGATGTAATTTTGTTTACTGGCCCAGAAGAGGGTGCAAGTGACACTAGTTTCAATTCCCTTAAATGTACTTAGATTTCAAGTCAAATTCAGAGGGGACTCTGGGTTTGTCCCTTTTTTTTGCAGGTTGCTGTGATGTATGAAGGCAGTTATTAGTTAAAGGTATAGAGAAATGTCTCTAGTCAGGCTTTTAAATATAGATATAGGTATGAGTATCTATTAAATATTGTAGATATTTTTCTATGCTTTCAAATATATTGATTTCAACTACAACACAAAATACAAAGTGCACAGTGCTCACTTTATATTATTTTTTGCAAATATTTGCACTGTAAAATGATAAAAGAAATTGTATTTTTCAAGTCACCTCATACTAGTACTATTGTGCAATCTCTTTATCATGAAAGCACAACTTAAAACTGTAGATTTTTGTTACCTAACTATGCTAAAAAATGAAACCGTGTAAAACTTTAGCACCTATACATTCACTCAATTTTACTTCTTCAGCCAGTCACTAAGACAAGTTTATTTACATTTATGGAAGATAATGCTGTCTGTTGCTTATTTACAATGCCATCTGAAAATGAGAACAGGCATTCGCATGGCACTTTTGTAGCCCGCATTGCAAGGTATTTACATGCCAGATATGTTATACATTCATATGCCACTTCATGCTTTGGTCATCATTCCTGAGGACATGATTGCATGCCAGTGATGCTTGTTAAAATATTAAAGCATTAATTAAATTTGTGACTGAACTCCTTGAAGAACTGTTTTTCTCCTGCTCTGTGTTTTACCTGTATTCTGCCATATATTTCATATGATTGGATGATGATCCAGTACATGTTTAAAAAACAACAATGGTTCTGTAGCACCTTAGGGCGCATCTGTACATCAGGGCTTAGCTCAATTTGCGTAGCTTATTTCGAAATTTGGAGGGTCTACATTGCACTTATTTTCAAATAGAGCATTCTTCCTCTGACGTCCTTTACTCCTCGTACAATGAGGGCTACAGGAGTTGGAGTAAGAAGTCCTCCAGCTTGACAGTATTTCGACATTGTCAAAATAACTGCTGGCTGTGTAGATGCGGACTATATTATTTTGAAATAATGTTGCTGTGTAGACATAGCCTCAGAGACTAACCACAAAATATGTAGATCATATCATGAGCTTTTGTGAGCACAACCCACTTCTTCAGATGACAAATATGGAGCAAGAGGCACGGAGGTTAAATTATAAGCTTTGTAAACCAGAAGCAGACAGCATTATTTCCTGCAAATATAAAGAAAACCTGTTTATCTGATTAACTGAAGAAGCAGCAAGATTGAATGGACTTGTAGGCGCTAAAGTTTTACATGGCTTTTATTTCTGAATGCAGTTATTTTGTACATAATTATGCATTTGTAAGTTCAACTTTCATCCTAAAGAGATTGCACTGTAGTACAGAAGGCCCCCGACTTGTGACGCGATTGGTTCCTGGGGAAGCACTGCAAGTTGGGGGTGTCATAACTTGAACCCTCATTTACAGTAGGCGCTGTGCGCCATCGTAAATATGGGCCGAGGACACAAGGGTGTGTGTGTGTGTGTGTGTGTGTGTGTGTGTGTGTGTGTGTGTGTGTGTGTGTGTTTAAAATAAAAAACAAAAAAAACCACCCCTTCCGCACTTATAACCATTTTTGTAAGTGCGGGGGGTCGGAACTCAGGGGGTCGCAAGTCGGGGCGACTATAGTATTAAATGTACTTGCACTATAGTATTAAATGAATTGAAATATACAATTTTTGGTTTTGCAGTACAAATATTTATAATAAAAGTAAACAAAGTGAGCACTGTACACTTTGTATTCTGTTATAATTGAAATCAATATATTTGAAAATGTAAAAACATCCAATAATAATTATATAAAAGGTATTCTATTATTGTTTTAGAGTGCAATTGACTGTGACTAATTTTTGTAATTGCGTGACTGTCCTAGTAACAGTACTAGCTTTGGTGGCATGCCTTCAGATTTACCCCTGTGTGACTGAGATCAGATTCTGGACCCTTTCCCTTTAATGTTGTCTTATAGTCGCAGTAATTTTTTTTTTTCGTTACGATTACTGACATTTTCTTTTCTATTCTCAGGGAAGTTTGGCACTGGTGTCCAGTCCTATTTCTCCTTCCTACGTTTCCTGGTCCTGTTAAACTTTATAATATTTATTCTTATGTTCAGTTTTATAACACTTCCTAGCACTGTTTCTACATATGGATTTTTCAACAGTAGCTACATTAAAGTTCTTCCAAAAAACATAGGTAAGTATCCTTATAAGTCTACTATTGTTTGTGTGAAGCATTTTAAAGGGGGGAGAACTTCAACTTCTTCAGGCAAATACTTATGTTTGAATTACCTTGGGTTCATGGTAAAGTGGAAAATTACTACTTTCTTAGTGACTTTGCTTCTGTCTTTGTTTGCAGAGCCGAAATGCACAATTTATACAATTAAGGGTACTAAAGGACTCGTTTATTTCTATAGTTACATAATAGATCTGCTCTCTGGCACTGTGAGTAATTAAATCAAATTGTTTTATTTTTCTAAATCCAAAGTTAATGCATGTAAAATACAACAAAGGGGTTTTGTTATGAGAATAATTTTTCAGATCAGTTTTGAAAATGATGCATGCTACATGCACATCATTGTAGATAAAGCTTTAACCTTTGTGTGCAACAAGCAGCAGCTTTCAAACTAAAATCTGCTTCCTGGTGGGTCAGGAGATGTTGGCTGGCCACATGCTGTAGTGCTTTCTCCTCATTTCTACCTGCTTGTCTGCAGTGAAAAAAGCTTTTAAAAATATGTCTTCTACTGCAGTATATGGAGTTCTATGGAGTTCGCAAAGGACTGTATTGTGAATAGAAGGGGAGGTAGGTGGGTACATGATATAATCTAACAAAACCTGGTTCACACTGTGCAAAAACGTAGGAACCACAAACTTGTTGCAGCTTGTCTTGGGCCCTAAATAGAAGTCTTGTCTCATTGTACTAAGCTCTTGACCATGCTTACTAGCTAGCTTAGTGGTTTATGTTATGACCAGTGTTGTGTGCATTTCATCCTGTCACAGGGTTTCCTTGAAATGACGAGTCTGTTTTATGGACATTATGCAATAGATATGGTGCAATTCAGTGGCATTAAATACAATGTACCACTTGCATACTTGCTGACTACACTTGTGTATCTCTCATTAAGTCTTATCTGGATAGTGAAAAGGTAAAGACAACTTTTGGTCTCTTCTGTTTACTGCTTGATACTGTACAGTTCACTTTTTATCCCAGTATATTGGAAACACAGTGAATTATTCTTGGACTTCACTGATATGGAAAGGGTGTAGCTTCAGCTAACTTTCTTCTGATCATTTATGGTGGTTTATACCTCCAGAGAGATATTGATGTAGAGGAAGCGGAATAAATTCCATTCTGTTGGCTGCTTTTGAAGGGGGAGGTGGTCAGCTTTTGATGGGACTGAAGCAAAAACTTTAGATCTGAGATGCAGACCCAAGTGAATGAACAAACTGAATATTGGCTATGGAGGAGGAAAACACCATAAATGATGAAAAGGGATTTAACTGAAGCTACATCCTTTCCATATCAGTGAAACTGATAATAAATTGAGCTTCTAGCTTTATGATCTTACAAGCCCTGGTATGGAGATCATGAATTAATAATGATGTTTTAGGTCCTTATCTGTGTAGTCTTGAGTTGTTAGCTCTTAGTGCATTATATTAATACAAATGCAAAGATTTTTTTTTAAATATTTTGATTGAAGTTGAAATAAGTTTTTGTGCAGAGGCCGTGTGAGTTGGAGAGGGAGGAAAACTGGCAAAACAGAAGGACTCACTGTGACCAGTCTTTGTATGTGTGGTTGCTAAGAATTGAGAGGACTTTGAACTCCATATTTGAAGTACACAAAACCTACGTTTTCATGGGTTGCAGTGACTTCAAGCTGAGGGTTTTTTCTTATCTTAGGCCTTAATGAGAGAGCTTGAATGAAAAAATTGGCAACAGATGTTTGTGCTGATTAATGTGTGTCAACTGGTAGAAATTTTGCTTTCTGCTGTATAGATTTGGAATGGGCAGAAAGGAAAAAGTATAGAAATTGCTTTTGGCAAGAATATTAATGAATGAACAAAGGACTGCAATATCTTTTATTAGGTCTGTGGAAGGATTTAAACAAAGCTTGATACGTAAGGAAGATCAATTTCAGAGTTACTGCAACAAAATCTTTGCAGGCTGGGACTTCTGCATTACAGACGTGAATGCTTCATGGCTCAAACATAGTAGTTTACAATATGAACTAAAAGTAAGTAGCTGGTTTTGGTTTTTCCTTTGTGTGCTATTTCGCCTTGGTCCGAGAAGCATGCATACAGTGTGTGAGTGAGAGAGAGCAAGATCCCACATCCTGTTACGTGCTCTCTGGACTACATAGGGATCTGTTGCAAGACGGGCAGGATCAGTACCTTCAGGGCCTTCGTCCATCCAGCACATGCTTTTTGTGTCATCTTGCTCACACTCCAGTCATTCTTCCTATGCTAGTCTCTACTTATCTCAACAGGAGAACTAGAGGTTGTGAGGTTGCAATGTTTGTAGGAAGCTGCTTGATAAGAACCTTACAGTTTACTTGCCAATTGCAGCACTGCTGCTTTAAAAAAACAGCAGCCCAGTTTTCATTCCGGTGTTTCAGTAACACTTGCATATATGAAGACAATAGGATTCAAACCTTCAGATAGGTTTTCAACAATAGAAGAGGTTTTCTGCGGACAGTAATATTTTTCTTCCCCCCCCCCCCACAGCTGTGTGGTTAAAAAATGACCTTTGGAGAGAAGTCTATGGCTTATTGCCTTCCTCCTCCTATTTCTTACACTTTTTGAATACCGAGACAGTGTGTATTAGGGATGTTAGTGTGCAATTGAATAGTTGTGTAACCGCACAAACTATTACTGGTTACACAACTATTCAATAGTCCCTGGGGGTGAGGAGCTGGCTGCCAGTGCATTCCTGGTCCCACTTCTGGGGAGCCCCCTGCCACCCTGTGCTACTGCCTCTGTATTGGAGGCAGCAGTGCGGGGTGGCAGGTGGGAGCTGGTTTAAAAACCAGCTCTTCGAGCAGACTAACTCCTCGCCTTTCTCCCTGTGCTGCTGCCTCTGGTACAGAGGCAGCAGTTCTGGGTAACACCAGCCTCTGTCCACAGGGTACCCGAGCTCCCCGCATACAGAGGCTGCTCCTCTGTAGAAGACAGCGGGGGTGGGGTGGGGAGAGAGGCGGATCTGCCGTAGGGATGTAAGCAAGTAGTCCAATAGCTTACTACACGATAAGCCTAGGCTTATCGGGTAGTCGAGTCAACTGCTCCACTACTCACATTTCCTCTCCCACTTTCTGTGTTTCTATCTGAGAGCAGGAGCTTATAAGCTGGGTCCCCCCAGCATCATCTCCTCAGTGCTTCTTTTAGAGGCAGCAGTGCGGTGGGTGCCGAAGAGCCCAAGACCCCCTCCGGACAGGAGCTGCTGGACCCGGCATGAGCCGGAACTCAGCCTGGCTTGGTTTCGGCTCTCACTGGGTCTGGCACCTACCCCTGTTGTGACTCTGCAGTGTAAATGTAGCGTTCCCGGCTCCCACTTAACCTAATGTTTAACCAGTTAACCCAGTCATACACCCTTTGCAGCAAAGGGGCACCGCGGGAAGTGGCAAACCGGAGCCAGTGGAAGCCACGAGGCACTGGCTATGGAGCCTTTAGGTAAACAAACTGATACTGGCCTGATAGCAGCTTTCCCATTGTTGCACGTCAAGGTTTATGCGTGAATACTGTACTTGTTCTGGGGATGCAAAGAGAACTTCACTTAAGCAGTGAACTTACCTGCCTTAAATTCCCATTGGGTTTTAATATATTACATCAAGTATAAATGAAAGGGTTCTTGTTAGTGAGTATATCTTTTATATTCAAATATAACTCCCACTGATGCGATCAGGTTTTAAGATTATTATAATACCTGGTTTTGAAATGCCCCAAAGTTTGTTTTCAGAGAGTAAATTAAAAACCCAGCTTCTTGCCGCAGAGAGCATACCATTTAATTATCTGATGAGATGGTGTAGATGAGTTATTGTCACCCAGTGGGTTTTGAGTTTGACCCCCTAGACTAGGTCACAAGGCATTGCAATTTTATCACTATCTAAGGCGAAGAACTTCACTTCCCATTCTCCACACACCTTTATAGGTTGTTTTTTCATGTCAACCTCTTGAAACCCACACTATAGACATGTTATCATTGGTAGTTTTTGTTATAGTAAATTTAAAGGGGCTGCAAAGATTTTTTTACTTTGAAGAAGGGATTGCCAACCTGAAAGGATGAAAATCACTGGATTAGGGGATTTGCATTGAGAGAGACCCATTCAGAACCCACTGAATAATGGAAAAACTTCATGAGTAAGTTTTGATTCAGACTGTAAATATGTGAACCTTAAGAACAAGATAGACCTCTTTGTCTTAATCATATTCATTTCCCTCTGCATCAGAGGGCTGTTCATTTCAATATGAATTTTCTTTGGTTTGTAGACAGACTTGGAAGAAGAAAGACTAAAGCAAAAAATAGCTGGAAGGAGAACAGAAGAAAAATTACGCATCTACTGTCTAAGAATATTTGTAAATATCATTGTTCTTGCAGTTTTGTCAGGATTCTTTTACTCTATCTACTGTGCAACCAAGTACTCACAAGAAAATATTTGCACTGTAAGTCTAAGAAAGTGAAAATAAAGCCTAGTAGTGTGCTAATCATCAACATATGCTTGGCAGAGTAAGGTGAAGAATTGTAAAGGAATGGAGGGGTTTGGTGTGATGCAACATCCTCTTGCATAGCATCTTCCATAGAAAGAGAATCCCCATTCACTTTTCAGCTCACTGATTAGTTAGCAGCAAATGGGGAGCAAAATCCAAGAGGTATATGCAGGAGAGAAAAGTAGTTACAGATGTGGGGAGATGCAGGAAGGTTGTTCCACAGGTAGGTCCACCATAGAAAATAAAAAGTTTCTTGCAGTAATAGTGCCCAGATGTTTTTGACTAGATTGAGAGAAGGCACCACACACAGTAGAGGGAATGAGGCTTTAAATATAAGGGTTGAAATCCCAGCCTTTTGAGTTTTGCTTTTGTCTTCTGTAGGGCCAGGATTTCACCCAAGGAGTGCAGGATCCTAAAGTGATGGGGAAGCCAAGGGGTGTGAGAAGCCGGAGAGGGGAAAGAGCTGAGACACAGTTGTGCGTGTGTGTGTGTGTACACTCGGGCTTAGGGAGGCCTTGGAGGAGCAGTCATATGTTCCAAGTGTGCAGAGGTGAAGGTTTGGGTGCCCATTATGGAAGGGATGGGGACAAGGCGATGGTGTGTATTGACAGCACTGCAGAGGTGAGGGAGGTGTGGGTGGAGGAGGAGGAATCAGAGTGAAAGATGATGCCAGAGTTCTGGACAGCTGAGGCCAATGGGAAGCCTGAGCAGAGAACAGGCATAGAGAGGTTTATTTGCGTGTATTACACTCTTACCTTCATTCCATGTAGGACAGTAACACATGTGATGGTAATCTCTTGGTGCAATACTTGCCTTCTATCGTGATCACCCTGGTCAACTTTATTGCTCCTCTGTTTTTTTCAAATCTAATCAGATTTGAAGAGTATTCACCAGCCTTTGAGATCAGATTTACACTGATGCGGTAAGTGTGTTTATTATTATTGTCACTAGATTTTCCACAGTGCTGATTGTGATGGCACATGGCTGCTTGTTTCATAGATTAAAATGGTCACAAGCAGCAACATCCCAAATCAGGGAGCAAATGCATTGTGGCTCCCTACAGCAGCCAACTGGCTTCCTTGCCCAGGATAGCAGAGAGCAGCCACTGCTGGATTTCCCTGACTGCATTTTTTTCATTTCTGGAATATGGTCATTTCCTCCTCTTCACACCCTTAGTGGTGTGGTCTATGGCAAGGTTGGCTGAGCCCACCGATATAAATGGATGGTGGACAAAGACACTGTCCTGGCAGAGTTCTCGGCAGTGCAGGAGAGGTTCACGCTGTCTCTCTGGACAGCAGCTATTGCATGGGATAACAACAGTGTGCAGTCATCAGCTTCACTTATGTTACTGTCTTGTCCTGCTCTAGCCCTATTATCACAAGAACGCAGCCCAAAGTGGAACAGGACAAAGTGGTACTTTGTGCCAAAAGGTATTGTGGGATAAGAAACAGCAAAGGGTTGGAGACCCAAGGCAGTTAGAGAATGGCAGCCCTAGGAATGTTACTGTCTAAAGCCTACATTTGAAACAGCTGTGGTCTAGGACATTGACCATACTGCCATCTGAAGTGGGAAGACTTAAAGAAGCTTAACGTTGTTGAAACTGAAATGAATATATATACATTCAGTGGCTTATTCTATAGTTAAAACTGTTGAATGCTTTTTTATTAAGGGCCTGATCCAACATTCTGTTACATTTAATAGCTTCCCATTGCCAGTTGGATCAGACTCAACTGTTGTGAGTTTTGAGGGGTAAGAGTGTGGGGTTTTGTCGTTTCTCCAGGTGTGTCTTTGTGCGGCTGGCCAACATTGGTGTTCTCTTGTTTTCCCTGGGGACTCAAATCTTAACCTGTGCTGACAAGTGTAAGGCATGTGGATACAATCATGAGCTCTACCCAGTAAGCTGATTTTGTGTTGAAACATTTGGCTCATCCACATAAAGATATTTTGTATGTGCTTCGCTTGACTGTCATGTATTCAGAATTGATGTTCCCTTTGTGATCTACTTCTCTTTAATGTCCCTGAGGAGAGGCATTAGTTTTCCTTGCTGTATATCTCCTGCATCAACTGGGAGCTGCCTCCCCTTTTTAGTGGTAGGCTAGGTCTTGAGAGGCTGTTGGGGAGAGATACGGTTAGCACTGTGTAAATTAGTGAAGTTCTTGACTCTATGTATGGCTTGTTTTCTTTTTGGGGCAAAATTGGAGTTCCATTGGAGCTAGTGGGACAAATCTTCAGCTGGGGTAGATCCATCTCATTGGAGCTATGACCATTAATACCAGTTAAGGCTCAGACCCAACAGCATTATTATATTTGATGTAATTGGGACCAACAGTTGGTCTTTAAAATGTTTATGGGCTTTAGGGCAATAATCAAAATAATCAAAATTTGGAAACATGGCTAGGAGTTCTTTATCATCATAGTGATTTTGAAGTTACTTGTGTTCTGACCGATCTGGGTGGTTGCTGTTTGTTCTGCTAATCCTGTTTTTCCTCTTTATTTTGGTCAGTGCTGGGAATCCCGAGTTGGACAGGAGATGTATAAGCTGATGATTTTTGATTTCATAATCATTTTTGCTGAGACAGTGTTTGTTCATTTTCCTAGAAAGTGAGTGTCTGTTCCTGTTGAACATTCTTTTGCTGAAAAAATTTAAGATGGCTCCTTTTACTATTACTTCTATTTATCTACTTTTCTCACCAGATCTTACATTTTAAAATAAAACAGCAATTATAAAAATACTATATAGCTTGATACAATCCATTGCACACTTGCCTGCCAATGGAATTTGGTTTCTTCAGACTTCATTATGTTAAACATGGTTTTTAAATGTTACTTTTTCTCTTTACTCTGAATGTATATTTAAAAGTTAGGGAATTCGGTTCATTCTGCCTGGTTGAAAGCTAGTGCTTTGTTTTGTTTTTTAGGTTGCTAGTTACCTATTGTTCTTGGAAAGTGATTAAGTGGTGCGGGCTACAGGAATTTGCAATTCCTGAGAATGTACTGGAAATTGTGTATGGGCAAACAATCTGCTGGATTGGTGCCTTTTATTCACCACTTCTTCCTGCCATAGCAACTATAAAGTATTTTATCGTCTTTTACATAAAAAAGGTAATGAAGGTTTGTGGTAAGTGGAAGTAAATTGTCTACTTCTCTGTGGTTTTTGTACTTGCATAAGATAGAAATATAATTGATTAAAAATACTAAGGATGCAGCATACTAGAAATGAGGGCACCATGTTATTTCTTTGAGGTGCTTTTATGGTGGTGATTTTTTTTTGTTTTTGTTTAAAAACAATAAAAGTAGATAGTTAACTTTGAAAGGATTTAGAAACTGACAATTTAATGGCATGCTCATCAGTTATTTGTCCATTTCATAAGAAACCATTGCTTTGACGCACAATTAATTTGCAACACTTTTTTGCTGTGGCTTATTTACCAACCTGAGATTTCAGACCTCAGAAGGAATTTTGTCAAGCTGGCATGTATTCAGTTCAGTCAACAAAATGGAAATCCAAGACCTTCCTTAAGAAGGGTCAGTTCTACGTGTCCTTTATCTCAGAAGTTGTGAAATCTGACTACACCAGCTTAGATTAATTAATTTTGAGCAGCAAATCTATGCTGGCATTTTAATATTTTGCAAGGGTTTAAGTGACTTGTTGGGGCTTTTGGATTCAAACCGTAAGGCCCCGATCCTGCAAGCTGTTCCACACGGGCAGAATCCCATTGCAGTTGGTGGGACTGTAGGCAGTTCTAGGGATCTCCAGTTGGATTGGGGCCCTGGCTCTAAAAATAACTGTAGGAATTTTCTCTTGAGAAGATGTAAACCTAAGGTGGTGGATAATATTTGGCTTCATCTGGAATATGAAACATTCTGATCTCAGCCCCAATAGTCCATTGACATCAAAGGGAGTACAGTCGAGCCCTTAATATTTGTGACCAGAGGAAGGGGATGGGCTAGGTTAGGATAGAGATCAACTTACTGGAAAAATAAGTGGTTGAGATCTGTTCCCTCCTCCCTTCTCTCCTCCTCCAGATAAGTTTAATGCATACATGTAGACCTTCATCGAGACCCTTCAGAGCATCAAGCTCTAATTTCTTCTTCCTGGTGGTGCTGCTGATTGGACTTGTATTGGCTTTCATTCCTCTGGGACTCAGCATGACACAGTAAATAATGGTTTCATATTTACAAAGTGTATTATTTTGCTTTAATTTAAAGGGTTTTTTAACTTGAGTTTTTTAACTCTCAGTTGATGGGTCTGCCTTTCATAAAACAAGTCATGGTTGCTTTCTCTCCCTTGTTCTGGGGTAGGGGGAGGAGAGGAGTCAAAGTTAATTTACTCTCCCCTTGCTGGGACAGGACATTCTATTGAAAGATTTCACCCTAAAGTCAAAATTCAGGTTCTCCAGACAGGGTTTGCCCACTTTCCAGTGCTCCAGGGTTTTTTTCTCTGATTTTGGTTGGTCTCAAACTCTACCTTTTTCAAGAAACTTCACTGGCCTTACAGGATTACACCAGGGCAATGAATCCTTGGCTATTCAGACTATTTAAGACAATCCAAGGACTCCCTGATGTCTGCACTGTTGAATGCTCATTTGATGTTGTAAAGGAAGTGAAAGAGAAAAAATGCTGCCACATAGACCAGTGGTTCCCAACCTTTTTGATTCTGGGGACTGGCAAATCCATTCACAAACTTTTGACAGACTGGCAATATCTTATTTGCATGTTTGCATATTCATTATGCAGATGATGAATATGCAAAAACACATTTCCAGTCCACCAAAAGTCCAGTCCCCAGAGTCCCCAGTGCCAACCCAACCCCTAGAGCCCCTACCCCTCTGCTACATCCCAGCACCAGCCAGTGACCCCAGAGTTTCCTGCATTCAACCCCTTCTGTGCCATCATCCTGCCCTCAGAGCCCCCCAGTGCCAGCCCCCTCCCCTTCAGAGTCCCTCCCCCCCAGACCCCCTCTTTTATATTCAAATATAACTCCCACTGATGCGATCAGGTTTTAAGATTATTATAATACCTGGTTTTGAAATGCCCCAAAGTTTGTTTTCAGAGAGTAAATTAAAAACCCAGCTTCTTGCCGCAGAGAGCATACCATTTAATTATCTGATGAGATGGTGTAGATGAGTTATTGTCACCCAGTGGGTTTTGAGTTTGACCCCCTAGACTAGGTCACAAGGCATTGCAATTTTATCACTATCTAAGGCGAAGAACTTCACTTCCCATTCTCCACACACCTTTATAGGTTGTTTTTTCATGTCAACCTCTTGAAACCCACACTATAGACATGTTATCATTGGTAGTTTTTGTTATAGTAAATTTAAAGGGGCTGCAAAGATTTTTTTACTTTGAAGAAGGGATTGCCAACCTGAAAGGATGAAAATCACTGGATTAGGGGATTTGCATTGAGAGAGACCCATTCAGAACCCACTGAATAATGGAAAAACTTCATGAGTAAGTTTTGATTCAGACTGTAAATATGTGAACCTTAAGAACAAGATAGACCTCTTTGTCTTAATCATATTCATTTCCCTCTGCATCAGAGGGCTGTTCATTTCAATATGAATTTTCTTTGGTTTGTAGACAGACTTGGAAGAAGAAAGACTAAAGCAAAAAATAGCTGGAAGGAGAACAGAAGAAAAATTACGCATCTACTGTCTAAGAATATTTGTAAATATCATTGTTCTTGCAGTTTTGTCAGGATTCTTTTACTCTATCTACTGTGCAACCAAGTACTCACAAGAAAATATTTGCACTGTAAGTCTAAGAAAGTGAAAATAAAGCCTAGTAGTGTGCTAATCATCAACATATGCTTGGCAGAGTAAGGTGAAGAATTGTAAAGGAATGGAGGGGTTTGGTGTGATGCAACATCCTCTTGCATAGCATCTTCCATAGAAAGAGAATCCCCATTCACTTTTCAGCTCACTGATTAGTTAGCAGCAAATGGGGAGCAAAATCCAAGAGGTATATGCAGGAGAGAAAAGTAGTTACAGATGTGGGGAGATGCAGGAAGGTTGTTCCACAGGTAGGTCCACCATAGAAAATAAAAAGTTTCTTGCAGTAATAGTGCCCAGATGTTTTTGACTAGATTGAGAGAAGGCACCACACACAGTAGAGGGAATGAGGCTTTAAATATAAGGGTTGAAATCCCAGCCTTTTGAGTTTTGCTTTTGTCTTCTGTAGGGCCAGGATTTCACCCAAGGAGTGCAGGATCCTAAAGTGATGGGGAAGCCAAGGGGTGTGAGAAGCCGGAGAGGGGAAAGAGCTGAGACACAGTTGTGCGTGTGTGTGTGTGTACACTCGGGCTTAGGGAGGCCTTGGAGGAGCAGTCATATGTTCCAAGTGTGCAGAGGTGAAGGTTTGGGTGCCCATTATGGAAGGGATGGGGACAAGGCGATGGTGTGTATTGACAGCACTGCAGAGGTGAGGGAGGTGTGGGTGGAGGAGGAGGAATCAGAGTGAAAGATGATGCCAGAGTTCTGGACAGCTGAGGCCAATGGGAAGCCTGAGCAGAGAACAGGCATAGAGAGGTTTATTTGCGTGTATTACACTCTTACCTTCATTCCATGTAGGACAGTAACACATGTGATGGTAATCTCTTGGTGCAATACTTGCCTTCTATCGTGATCACCCTGGTCAACTTTATTGCTCCTCTGTTTTTTTCAAATCTAATCAGATTTGAAGAGTATTCACCAGCCTTTGAGATCAGATTTACACTGATGCGGTAAGTGTGTTTATTATTATTGTCACTAGATTTTCCACAGTGCTGATTGTGATGGCACATGGCTGCTTGTTTCATAGATTAAAATGGTCACAAGCAGCAACATCCCAAATCAGGGAGCAAATGCATTGTGGCTCCCTACAGCAGCCAACTGGCTTCCTTGCCCAGGATAGCAGAGAGCAGCCACTGCTGGATTTCCCTGACTGCATTTTTTTCATTTCTGGAATATGGTCATTTCCTCCTCTTCACACCCTTAGTGGTGTGGTCTATGGCAAGGTTGGCTGAGCCCACCGATATAAATGGATGGTGGACAAAGACACTGTCCTGGCAGAGTTCTCGGCAGTGCAGGAGAGGTTCACGCTGTCTCTCTGGACAGCAGCTATTGCATGGGATAACAACAGTGTGCAGTCATCAGCTTCACTTATGTTACTGTCTTGTCCTGCTCTAGCCCTATTATCACAAGAACGCAGCCCAAAGTGGAACAGGACAAAGTGGTACTTTGTGCCAAAAGGTATTGTGGGATAAGAAACAGCAAAGGGTTGGAGACCCAAGGCAGTTAGAGAATGGCAGCCCTAGGAATGTTACTGTCTAAAGCCTACATTTGAAACAGCTGTGGTCTAGGACATTGACCATACTGCCATCTGAAGTGGGAAGACTTAAAGAAGCTTAACGTTGTTGAAACTGAAATGAATATATATACATTCAGTGGCTTATTCTATAGTTAAAACTGTTGAATGCTTTTTTATTAAGGGCCTGATCCAACATTCTGTTACATTTAATAGCTTCCCATTGCCAGTTGGATCAGACTCAACTGTTGTGAGTTTTGAGGGGTAAGAGTGTGGGGTTTTGTCGTTTCTCCAGGTGTGTCTTTGTGCGGCTGGCCAACATTGGTGTTCTCTTGTTTTCCCTGGGGACTCAAATCTTAACCTGTGCTGACAAGTGTAAGGCATGTGGATACAATCATGAGCTCTACCCAGTAAGCTGATTTTGTGTTGAAACATTTGGCTCATCCACATAAAGATATTTTGTATGTGCTTCGCTTGACTGTCATGTATTCAGAATTGATGTTCCCTTTGTGATCTACTTCTCTTTAATGTCCCTGAGGAGAGGCATTAGTTTTCCTTGCTGTATATCTCCTGCATCAACTGGGAGCTGCCTCCCCTTTTTAGTGGTAGGCTAGGTCTTGAGAGGCTGTTGGGGAGAGATACGGTTAGCACTGTGTAAATTAGTGAAGTTCTTGACTCTATGTATGGCTTGTTTTCTTTTTGGGGCAAAATTGGAGTTCCATTGGAGCTAGTGGGACAAATCTTCAGCTGGGGTAGATCCATCTCATTGGAGCTATGACCATTAATACCAGTTAAGGCTCAGACCCAACAGCATTATTATATTTGATGTAATTGGGACCAACAGTTGGTCTTTAAAATGTTTATGGGCTTTAGGGCAATAATCAAAATAATCAAAATTTGGAAACATGGCTAGGAGTTCTTTATCATCATAGTGATTTTGAAGTTACTTGTGTTCTGACCGATCTGGGTGGTTGCTGTTTGTTCTGCTAATCCTGTTTTTCCTCTTTATTTTGGTCAGTGCTGGGAATCCCGAGTTGGACAGGAGATGTATAAGCTGATGATTTTTGATTTCATAATCATTTTTGCTGAGACAGTGTTTGTTCATTTTCCTAGAAAGTGAGTGTCTGTTCCTGTTGAACATTCTTTTGCTGAAAAAATTTAAGATGGCTCCTTTTACTATTACTTCTATTTATCTACTTTTCTCACCAGATCTTACATTTTAAAATAAAACAGCAATTATAAAAATACTATATAGCTTGATACAATCCATTGCACACTTGCCTGCCAATGGAATTTGGTTTCTTCAGACTTCATTATGTTAAACATGGTTTTTAAATGTTACTTTTTCTCTTTACTCTGAATGTATATTTAAAAGTTAGGGAATTCGGTTCATTCTGCCTGGTTGAAAGCTAGTGCTTTGTTTTGTTTTTTAGGTTGCTAGTTACCTATTGTTCTTGGAAAGTGATTAAGTGGTGCGGGCTACAGGAATTTGCAATTCCTGAGAATGTACTGGAAATTGTGTATGGGCAAACAATCTGCTGGATTGGTGCCTTTTATTCACCACTTCTTCCTGCCATAGCAACTATAAAGTATTTTATCGTCTTTTACATAAAAAAGGTAATGAAGGTTTGTGGTAAGTGGAAGTAAATTGTCTACTTCTCTGTGGTTTTTGTACTTGCATAAGATAGAAATATAATTGATTAAAAATACTAAGGATGCAGCATACTAGAAATGAGGGCACCATGTTATTTCTTTGAGGTGCTTTTATGGTGGTGATTTTTTTTTGTTTTTGTTTAAAAACAATAAAAGTAGATAGTTAACTTTGAAAGGATTTAGAAACTGACAATTTAATGGCATGCTCATCAGTTATTTGTCCATTTCATAAGAAACCATTGCTTTGACGCACAATTAATTTGCAACACTTTTTTGCTGTGGCTTATTTACCAACCTGAGATTTCAGACCTCAGAAGGAATTTTGTCAAGCTGGCATGTATTCAGTTCAGTCAACAAAATGGAAATCCAAGACCTTCCTTAAGAAGGGTCAGTTCTACGTGTCCTTTATCTCAGAAGTTGTGAAATCTGACTACACCAGCTTAGATTAATTAATTTTGAGCAGCAAATCTATGCTGGCATTTTAATATTTTGCAAGGGTTTAAGTGACTTGTTGGGGCTTTTGGATTCAAACCGTAAGGCCCCGATCCTGCAAGCTGTTCCACACGGGCAGAATCCCATTGCAGTTGGTGGGACTGTAGGCAGTTCTAGGGATCTCCAGTTGGATTGGGGCCCTGGCTCTAAAAATAACTGTAGGAATTTTCTCTTGAGAAGATGTAAACCTAAGGTGGTGGATAATATTTGGCTTCATCTGGAATATGAAACATTCTGATCTCAGCCCCAATAGTCCATTGACATCAAAGGGAGTACAGTCGAGCCCTTAATATTTGTGACCAGAGGAAGGGGATGGGCTAGGTTAGGATAGAGATCAACTTACTGGAAAAATAAGTGGTTGAGATCTGTTCCCTCCTCCCTTCTCTCCTCCTCCAGATAAGTTTAATGCATACATGTAGACCTTCATCGAGACCCTTCAGAGCATCAAGCTCTAATTTCTTCTTCCTGGTGGTGCTGCTGATTGGACTTGTATTGGCTTTCATTCCTCTGGGACTCAGCATGACACAGTAAATAATGGTTTCATATTTACAAAGTGTATTATTTTGCTTTAATTTAAAGGGTTTTTTAACTTGAGTTTTTTAACTCTCAGTTGATGGGTCTGCCTTTCATAAAACAAGTCATGGTTGCTTTCTCTCCCTTGTTCTGGGGTAGGGGGAGGAGAGGAGTCAAAGTTAATTTACTCTCCCCTTGCTGGGACAGGACATTCTATTGAAAGATTTCACCCTAAAGTCAAAATTCAGGTTCTCCAGACAGGGTTTGCCCACTTTCCAGTGCTCCAGGGTTTTTAGCCTTTTAAATTACATCCCTCTTGCCTAAACCTCAGAAGAGCTTTTCTTTTAAAATTTGGCTCAGTGTTTAAATTACATCCCTCTTGCCTAAACCTCAGAAGAGCTTTTCTTTTAAAATTTGGCTCTTCTCTGATTTTGGTTGGTCTCAAACTCTACCTTTTTCAAGAAACTTCACTGGCCTTACAGGATTACACCAGGGCAATGAATCCTTGGCTATTCAGACTATTTAAGACAATCCAAGGACTCCCTGATGTCTGCACTGTTGAATGCTCATTTGATGTTGTAAAGGAAGTGAAAGAGAAAAAATGCTGCCACATAGACCAGTGGTTCCCAACCTTTTTGATTCTGGGGACTGGCAAATCCATTCACAAACTTTTGACAGACTGGCAATATCTTATTTGCATGTTTGCATATTCATTATGCAGATGATGAATATGCAAAAACACATTTCCAGTCCACCAAAAGTCCAGTCCCCAGAGTCCCCAGTGCCAACCCAACCCCTAGAGCCCCTACCCCTCTGCTACATCCCAGCACCAGCCAGTGACCCCAGAGTTTCCTGCATTCAACCCCTTCTGTGCCATCATCCTGCCCTCAGAGCCCCCCAGTGCCAGCCCCCTCCCCTTCAGAGTCCCTCCCCCCCAGACCCCCCCCCCAGTACCAGCCTCCTGTTTCTAGAGCCCCATTGCACCCAACTCCCCCAGAACCTCCTCCAGTGCCAGCCCCCAATATTAGCCCCATGCCCAGAGTCCCTACCCCCCTAGTCCTCCTCACTATGGCTACGTCTACACTGTAGCTTTTTCTGATTGCTTTTCTGGAAGACGCTTTTCTGCCATTTGGCCCCATCTAAATGGGGCCAAATGGTGGAAAAGCCTCCTCTTTCGGAGGAGCCCTTATTCCTCGTGAAGTGAGATATACAGGGCTCCCTGAAAGAGTTCATTTGCTCTTCCGCAAAAAAAAAGTGGAAGAGCAAATGTGTTCCCTTGACGTGGCAGAGTTTTTCCAGAATACCTCCAGTATCCTGGAAAACCCCGCAGTGTAGACGTACCTTGCTAGTTGAGCCTCTAGAGCCACCCAGCACTAGACCTGCCCTTGGAGTCCCCAGTGCCTGTCCCACCCCCCCATACCTTGCATTGCTGTCTGCATCGCAGCAGCTCAGGGAGCCAGGGCTGGGGTACACCGCCCAGCACCTCCTGTCCTAACGTGGCTGTTGGGAGAAGAATGTACTGCTCCGCCTGTCAGCCAATCAGCGCCGGGCAGGGGTGGGGTCTCTTCCAGCCATGGAAGAGCGCTTCCCTGCACAGCAGGAGGGCTGCGCGGAGCAGGGAAGTGCTCTTCCCCAGCTGGGAGGAGACTCCACCCCTGCCTGGCGCTGGTTGGCTGAGAGGTGGGGCAGGACACGCCTCTCCCAATAGCCACCTCAAGAGCGGTGTACCCCAGAGCTGCCGAAGCCTAGCAGCCAGAGGTTGGGAACCGCTAGCATAGACAAATAAAGCAAACGGAAGAAAGGTGGACGAGAGGAGGAAGACATAATGCAAATTGAGTACGAAAGATCTTTTTAACAACTCACTTAATCATACTATATGCAACATAATGAGTTTTCTAGACTAGAAACCTCTGTGAAAGTACATACCGCACAACGCACCAGACCTGCTACCTACCATTTTGGAAATGCAAGTTAAAAGAAAATATACCTGCATATAATTAAAAATTAAATAATGACTTGTGCATGAAGAGCTTTTTTGTTTTAAAATAATATATTTTAAAATAAACTGAGGGCACTGTGACTTGTGGAAACTAATAAGAATGGGATCCCCTGTTGCTTTGTTATCACTTTCTGTGTCACATCTCTTTTGTGTCGCCTTTTCAACAGCATCAACTCCTCTAAAGCTTGCGGGCCATTCATTAACTTTAATCGTATATGGGATGTTGTTCCACATACAATAGATGGATTTCCAGTAGCTCTGCGGAAGGTTCTTTATGGCATAGCTTCAGAAGCGTTCGCAGTGCCTTTCTTTATGGTTACCTGGTAAGTGCTACTGAGGGCAGTGGGGCCCTTTGTGTTTTCTTGTCCCTATGTAGTTGTATGATTTAGTCTCTGTTAATTAAATGGACATGAAACATTTATTAAATCCAATTTTCTTTGCCCGGGGAAGCCATAGGCATCAGATCTTGTGTTAGAACTTTCAGCTTTTGTTTCTCTTTATTATTTGTATTCTTCTCTTGTTTCCTAGTTATCCAGAGGACCAACATTGCAGCTTCTTATCTCCCTTGCCAGAACATTAGCTGCCATGCTGGCTGGCATGTTGTAACAGTGGTATAGCCAGAAGGGCCCATGTAGGTCAGTCCTGATTTTGGGTGGGTGGACAAAAATGGGGGAGGGTGGAGAAGTGGAACAGGAGGGATGGGAAGTAAACCCCAACCCTGCTCCCCGGCCGGAGTGCAAGACCCAGCTGAGCATCCCAGTCCCTCTCCCTGGTAAGAGTACCAGAGCAGAACAAGCCCTGGCTCCCCACTGTGGCTGGAGCACTGGGCATGCTGGAGGGGGTTGGGCCTGAGTGCAAAGTGCATGGGGCATGGCCCACTCACACCCACTTATGGCTAAGCCTGTGCTGTAAGCAGTGGGTGGAATTGCAGCTGTGTAATATGTCTTGCTTTCCAGTAGGGATGTCAGTGTATAGTTTACTGCAGCCTGGGCTTATCGGTTAATCCTATCGACTATATGCATTCCTCCCTTGCCGCCTCTGTATCCCCATCACCAGTAGTTCCATGGAGGCAGCAGTGGGTTGGTGGCAGGAGAGTCTACTCCGTAGGATGCAGGTTTTAAACTGGCTCCGCTTGTGGACTGACTCCCGCCTGCCACCCTGTACTGTTGCCTAGAGTGGCAGGGGGCTCGCTGGATGTAGGGCCCGGAGGGCACTGGCTGCCGGCCTGCCCCTGGGGACTATCAAACAATGGTGGAACTGCTAAGTTTGCTGTGGTTACATGACTATTAAATTAATCGATATCTTACATTCCTACTTTCTAGTTAAGGAAACTGAAGTGTCAGGGTTGCTGTTTGGTTTCTACCTAGGCCAGACCAAAAAATGTTCTCACTGTTTCAGTGTCTGGAGAGTCTTGTACTCTGAGGTTCTGTATAACTTTTGCACTTTTTAAAGCTACCAAGTTCATTTGAATTTTCTCCGCAGGCCCTGATTATTGAAGTTTTTATTTTAAGCTCATGCTTATGTGCTTTACTGAATAGGGTCTGCAGTTTTGTATCCCCAAGACTTCAAATCTTATTTTTCATATCCTTAATACCCAGAGAATGTTTTTAATACCTGGTCGCTAACTCCTTATGGCATGTTTACTAGTACAAGATGTTCACAAATTGTAATTTTGGAAGAAAAACCATTACAATTCTCTGATAGGCAAACAGTTTCAGCATCCAGTTTCCTGTCACCTCCTTTGCTCCTTTCACAGCATGATTCTGAGTCATTTACAAGGGCAGTATCTGTAGCAAAACCACAGGAAATAATATAAAGTTGATGTAACTACAGATTGAGGGCTAAACATTGCAGAAAAGGGAAATTAGAGAACTACTTGTTCAAAGTCAGATTCTCAGGGAGCACAGCCTGAGGGTGCGGAAAGCTGATGATAGTCCACGAGGGAGGGGCACAGGCCCTCTAACCACACAACGGTCTAGAGAATGCAAGGGCAGAAGCACCACAGATCTCAGAACTGCAGCAAGAGCCCACGCCT